TGCTTTTCGGATTTGCAAAGTACGAAGGTGTCATCCACATACCGTACGTACATTTCAGTTTCACGGATGTGCGTTGCAAGTGGGCCATGTTCCAGTTTCGCCATGAATATATCAGCCAGCAGCGGCCCCAAAGGAGATCCCATTGCCACTCCGTCAATCTGACGGTACATTTCACCATTGAAAGTGAACTGAACATTTAACGTGCAACGAAGTAACACCTCCTTTAGCAAAGTCTCCGGAAAAGTTGTGTATATGGGCAGTTGCCGAGCAAGCTCGCATACGTAATCCACGGTTTCGAGCAATGGAATGTTTGTGAACAACGACTGGGCATCGAATGATATCATCCTTTTGTTAACAAGGTTGCTTTCAGATATCCTCTCAATGAATTCGAACGTGTCTCTCACGCAGTAAGTACAAACCAAATTCCGTAACGGCTGCAGCTTCGCCACCATCCACTGGGCCAACAAATGCTGAGGAGAACCCACCATGTCCAAGATTGGGCGCATTGGGGCGCCTTCCTTGTGAACTTTAGGTAGGCCATATAATCTCGGTAGGTGTCCACCTGAAGGCTTCAGCTTTTCGAATTCCTTCTTCGTGATGAGTTTGGCTTGCATCATTCGCCTGAGGCAGCCGGTTAGCTGTTTCTCTACCTCTCCTGTGTTGTCTTTTCTTGTCATGAGCCTCTGAAACTTACTCTCATCACTGAGGATGTGTTGCATTTTATGGATATAATCCACCCTATCCATTAACACTATACCAGAGCCCTTGTCTGGCTTAGAGATTATTAATTCGTTGTTTAACCGTAGCTCTTTAAGTGACTGGATTTGTTCCCTAGTGAATACTATTACTAGATGGTTTGGTCCTAACGTATTCATGGCAGGCGGTAATTGTTTATTTCTAGTGGCTTATACTAGGTGTGTTCGTTCATACATTGGATGCGTCCGATCATCTGCGTGATTTCCATAGAGTGTTTCCCAACTGGTGCTCGTCTCTGTGTTTACTCCTCGTGCACATGGAACTGGAATCCTGAGGTCATCTTCAACTTTGGGGAAGTCGGCAAGGCTCGCTGTTGGTGTGTCAGCTTGCATCACGCTACTTATATCCGGTTCAGTAGTATCTACCTTCAATCCACCACACTCCTCCCCCTCCAAAGGATTCGCGTCAGCTGCCTTCCGTCGGAGTCTTTCTGACCGCCGGGGATGTTCACTGTACGAGCGTGTTTCCTCCTCCAATTCGTACCACTTCCTCAGCTCGCTGGCATTCACCCTCCGCGATTCACCTTGCCGAGCGATTGTATACACTGGGCCTCGCCGGTCGATTACCTCGTACGGTCCTTTCCACTTCGCTAGGAGTTTCCTCTCCCCTGGGCCGCAAGTGGGATAGCGTTGATGGTCCCTGTACTTCACTTTCGAACCAATCTGAAACTCGATATTTCTTCCACCTTTGCTGGTCTGGAACTGCGCCATCCTCAGCGCCTGAGTCGCCTGTAGGTTGCGGTTGGCGGTCTTCCGGTTATTACGTGTCTCCTCGGGAGATATACGGCAAGTTGGCCACATTCCAATCTCTAGGTCCACAGGTAGACGAGGTTGTCGACCGTACATCAACTGGAATGGTGATTTCTTTGTGGACGCCTGTTTGGTTGCTCGATGGGTCAGCAACAGTAGCGGCAGCGCTTCCTCCCAGTCTCCACCTTTTGCTGCTAGCCACTCCTTGATTGTTCTATTGTTACTTTCCGTCAGGCCATTTGTTTGCGGGTGGTATGGGGTGGTGCGCAATTTCTCGATGCCAAGTTTCTCCAAACAGTTCCGGAATTCTTCACTCTCGAAGCACGGCCCTTGATCTGTTAAGA